CTCATGCCACGGCGAGCTGCCACGCCGCTGAGGATCCTTGGGGCTGCGCCATGGCTGGTAAGCAGGAGCTGGAAGAGCCTTCTTCTCCAGAGGCTGTGCGGCTCAGACTTTCCCGACAGGGGGAGCTCTTCGCGAGTTATGTCTTCTGTTTCGGTTGCGCCGATGGAGAGGAAGCACCCGATGCTCAGCCAAAGCCGAAGCGCCGTCCGCAGGCCCAGGCCCGGGCCCCAAAAGCCGTGACCCCTGCAGGGTCACGAGACGCTGCATCGTGTTCTCTTCGCTTGCTGGCCTCTGGCCTCTGTTCTCTTGCAACATTTCAGTCCCCCGCCGTCTGCACTGAGTAGAATCTTCTTCCGTAGTCTCGCAGTAGCTTTGTCCATCCTTCTAGGGGCTGAGTTCCGTCCTGTTGCCTCAACAAAGTTGCTACAGTCATTCGGACGTTCGTATCCTCTACGGCTTCAACCGAAGCCTCGGTTGCCTAGACCATGAAGCCTCAGCCCAGCAATCCCCAGACCCTGTCGTCGAACGCTGCAGACAGTGTCGGGACGAAGAGTTGAAGATTTGGAGTCAACATGCTCGGCAGTGCAGTCCACCACGTCACACCGGAGGACTACGGACAACAACACTGCAAACACCTTCGTGCACACCTCTTTGTTTCTGTTGGCAATGCTGCTGGTTGCTGCTGTTCTTGCTAGTTGCGAAGTTGCCGCAACGGCTGTTGTTTCGGATTCCAGATTCGTGTCGTTGCGGTTTTCTATTCAGGGAAACCTTTCGGTGATGGATGGTGAGACCTTGGGTCCTCGCCTGTAGTTTCTTTCGCATGGTGAGGCGGAGCGATGGCGGGCTGGAGTTGGCGGCAGCTTGCCGGCAGATTCTGCTGCTGACGACAAGCCGGACTTGCTCAAGGCGCCTACTCGGATTTTGTTTCGGAGGGTCATCCTTCTTTGGCCTGGAGGCGTTTGCCAACTGCCAACCCACCCGTTTCAGACAGATGAAACGAACGTGCAGACTGGATTCAGCGTCGCCTCTGCGTCGTTGCAGGCCACATTCCTAAGGGCGAAGGTTGAGAATCAGGCTTCATCGCTGAGCTTCTGGGCCTGCAGCGAGGAACAGCCTTTGGACATCTAGAGGTAGGTTCATGTCCAGACGACCCCATTCAACAACACACATGCTAGCAGTCCATGGGATTCGGCTTTTTGTGAATGCTCCAACTTAGTATGTTCTGACTCCCGTCCCTTTCCTGTTGTAGCTTGCGGGAAGAGTTCGCCAGCGTCTTCCAGGAATATGAATATGTGTGCAGCCCAATCCTGCCATGTTGTTGTATGCCAGACCATTTGATTGCCTCCTGGAAGTTCGTCGCGGAAGCATATTCTTGTTGGGCAGGGTGCGCCATCTTGAACCATGACTAAGGGCGACTGTCTTTGCTTAGGTTGCATTGTATCAAGGCCAGACCATGTCGGAATTCCGACTCCATGCCATGTGTTCCATCCCTGCTGTGTCGTATGGTGCATCGTACCGTGTCTCTGCTGTGCTAAATTGCTGTGCTGTGTAATGCTGTTGTAGTTGAAGTGGACGCAAGTTCAAGGCCAACCTCCGGCAACGCCGTCAGCAGATCCGCCAGCTGTGGGATTTGCCAAGAAGATGCCCGTCAAGGCAAAGATTCAGATCACGTCTGGCTCACGTCTTGCGCTTGGTTTTGCAGAAGGTGCCGCAGCCGCCTGCAACGCCGCCTCCTGCACACATAGTGCCGGCCAAAGCTCGACCAGGCCAGCGGGCTTTTTCCATAGCAGGAAGAATTTTTTGGATCTCGGCAGCTTTGGAGAAAACGTTTGTCCCAAGCTGCAGGTGCTGCGACGAGCACGGCGGCATTTGCGAAGGCCAAGCCCGTGGCGGCTCTTCCAGGTGCCGGGGATGCATTGCCGCTTGCAGGGTTTTGGGGCTGAGAACGAGGCACATCCACGTCCCCTGCAGATGCTGGAATGTCGAAGGCTGCAGGGGTCTCAGCGAACAGCAGTCACAATGCTTCCCTGCCCGAGCGCTGCTGCATGCTGCCAGACCTGGAGCTGTCGTGGACTGGAGGTGATGCCTCCATCGACGAGTGTGGCCGTCAAGGCCATGCCACGCAAGCCGATGGGTGCCTGGGCATTGTCCTGCACAGCTGTGAGCTGTCCGTGCACTTGCAATCCGCTGTGCTGCAGCGCGTGGTTGTTTGGGCCCAAGGTGAAGGCAGCCGAGCACCAGGCAGAGCCAAGTGGATGACTCCCGATACCATGCGTTTTCCAGACTTGGAGCCCCCTCTCCCCGGGCCGTGGTGTCAGCAGATCACGGCTTCCTGTCAGCCACTGCTGCCATGTTGGGAGTGCAAGTCACGAGGAACGTGACACCAACACGTCCAATCCTAGCGATGGTTTGGTGTTTTCACAAGGAACGCACCCCAAGGGGCCCGTGACTGTTGCTGTTCATATTGTTGAGCACTGAAACTCGGGAAACTTGTATCAGCCAGCGTCGGGGCGGAGGGGGTAGGGGCGCCAAATGCAAAGCATAGCCTCCATATGCGGTCCAGGCGACGACACTGTCTTCGCCAAGCAGGCGCTGGGCAGGGGCATGCCTGGAGCATGGAGAAAATCTGCGCTGCGCTGGGAGGCTTCGAGCTTGTCTGGTCCTGGAATCCTCGGCGAAGGCGCAGCTGGTGCTGTTCCCACGAACCAGTTGCAGGCTCATGCTGTTTCAGGTTCAGAGGAGCCTCGGCAAGGCAATTTGTCAGACTTGCCACGGCTACTCGAAGAGACAGGTGGGGCATAGCAACTCTTGTGCTCAACACACTCTGCCACAGCATCGCCATGAAGTGATCAGGCAAAGAGGATGACAGAAATTCTCAGGCTGGGTCTTCTTGAGCTCAGAAGAAGCCTTGGGTTGCGACGAGTTTTCGCCTTCTTTGGGATACCCTTGATGTCTATGCCAGGATGAGGACGAAGAGGCAGCAGCCAAAGCCGCCAAGCTGCCCCACCAAATGCCTGCTGTGCGATCGCTGATGGGCCTGGATGCTGGTCAGATTTGGCTCTGGGCATTACATGTGCTGCGAAAAACTAGTAACTAGTGACAGCTTTGCTCCGGTGCGAAGTTAGCTCCACCAAGGACGATTCTCGCCTGAGCGAGTACCAGATGGAATTGGTCAGGGATCTGGTGCTCGGCCAGGAAAGAAATCGTGAGGAAACCAGGGTTTCTCTGGGCATCTTCCTGCTCCGAGGCGAGCGGCTCGAAGTTTCATGATCCGGCGCGGGATCCGCAGGCATACCGCAAGCAAGCTCGGAGCCTTGGTGGCAGTTTCGGTCTGCAAGGGCTGTGTCGTGGACCCACCGGCATGGATGCTTCTGTCACCAAGGAACATGTGCCCCTTGGCTGGGCAACTGATTTTGAATGCCTTTCGCCCCAACACTCGGCCCCGACCCTTCTCCGTGCCCAGAACAGTACATTGGCCCAAAACTTCAGTTGGGCAGACAGCGAATTGAGACAAGCGGCTTTAGAGTCTCGGGCTGGAGATGGGTGTTTTGCGCGCGATGGTAGAGCTCGAATCACTTTACAAGATGCAACGCTGATGTGCGGATTTGCCTGGGCCAGACTTTGCTCAAGTGACAGAGTTCTTTCCGCTTAAGTCCGAAGGAGCGAGCGGTCTCTCTTCAATCAGCACGAAAGACTTGAAGAACTGAGGTTTGGTCGAGGTAAGTCGCTTGAAGTTCTGCCACAAAGACATAGGCTGGGTCAACCTCTCCTAGCGTCAGACATGGGCAGAAATGTGGAGTATCATGTGGCAAGAAGTAAGAAGCTTCAGATCCGCTACTCTCTTCTGTTCGTTGTGGTGTCGGGCAGGTCCTCGCTTCTCGCATGGCTCGCATCAGGGGGTGCCAGTCCTGAAACTGCTGCAGGACCGAAGCGGGCACTCCAGGGCTGGGCGGGCATCACGTTCTCTTACGTCCCTGTTTCGTCTAGAGCGTGGCCTCGCTCTTCTTATCTTCAGTTTCAGGATGCTCTGCGGTCTATGTAGTCAAAGGTTTCTGACGGCTCGTCCTGACACCGTTGCGGGAGCTCCAAGCCGACTTCAGACCCAGGTCTCCAGGTTAAGACCTCCAGCCGCTGATTGGATTGCCTGTTGATGATCTCCGGACTGGCACCAAGAGCCTCCCTGCGCATCATTTGGACATGGCCCTCAACGGTCCTGTTTGCGGTTTCTGAATCGGTGACCTTGGAGGATCTGCATGCTGGCCGTGCTGATCCAAAAGAGCTGCCCCCACTCGTCGTGATGCGAAACAGAGGGGACCTGCACCCGGGCTTCTTTTGTGTTGTGGGCACCGCAGGCGTAAGTCTTGGCAGCGCAAGCCTGGCAGCGCTCCGATCTAAGGCAAGTCGTTTGTGGCAACAGGAGGCTGTATTGCTTAAAAAGGCTGCTTGGCATCAGTTTCACAGAGCTCTTACGCAGTCTCCGGCTCTGACGGTTGTGACCCGTCGATCTCCTGGAGACTGGTGGATTACTGTAAGGTTCGCGATGGAAGCTTCAAAGGCGGTGGATGTCTGGTGTGTAGTCTATGACCTAAAGGCCAAGGTCCAAATCTCAGTGTCTCACAGTGACATCGTGCGCATTTGTTGTTGCATGCATTTAATGAGCCTGCTGGCAGAACAGGACACACCTCGCCCACTGCTTTTCAAGTTGCTCGGACGAAATCAAACTTGAGCCTCAATCTGCACAAGTTCTCCCGAACTCGGAGCGGTGTTCTGGATTACTGCTCATCATGCGAGGTACATTCTCGCAACCACCACGCAAGACAGCAACACTGTGAGTGCTCGTGTCCGATGAGCCAACAAAGCCCTGGGACGAGCGACCGCTGCCGAAAAAGCGGCAGCCAGCGCGGCAAAAAGGCGTACAGGGTTGGAATTGAAATGCGAAGAGAGAAGCCTCAAGTCGTACACTGGTACGGCCGACACTGGCCCTGACTTCCTGGACCCAGGAAGCGCATGAGTGCGAAGGACGCCCTTTCTCACAAATGGTTCCTGGAGCACCTCAAGGCAGGGCAGGGTGAAAGCTGTTTGCAAACGCAGCGACTCCAACAAAGCAGCAAATCCAAATCATACTAAATCCCTCAACCCAGGAAGAGCTAGTAAACAACCATGCAGGGTGCACCTACACGATTTCCCCGGATCGAGCAGCTTGGTTTTGCCTTTGCATCCTGCAGGATGCGAGAAGCCATGGCGGTGAGCACCCGAGACCGGGGGTCGGGGCTTGCGCTGGCCGCTCCCATAGCCCTTCCTTGAGGCGATGTGCAGGGCTCTCCGATGGGCACACAGAGCTCTCCGATGGGCACACCGCAGTCAAACCCTTCAAACGGTTCGGCCTCGAATCTTCCGAGTGGGCAGCATCCCCAGAATTTGTGGGCGGCAGAGTCTGCAGTAGTGGAAAAGCGAATGTAGAAAACCCGCAGGGCTAAAGAAAGCACATCCCGTGCAGAGGTATGCGGAGAGAGTTGTGAGGCCGTTCCAACTGCCAGCTGAAAGTAGAGTGCGTGCGTGTTGTAGCTTCCTACACGCTTGCCTCCTTCAATCTGTTCTGTGCAGGTTCAGGGGATTCAACAAGTGGAAGCAGTCAGCTTTGCGGGTCATCGTTTTGACCTCGGCCCCTGCAGGTGCCTGCTTCACACTTCTCACACCAACGTGTAACATGATGAGGCAAACATGTTGCCCGAGAACGAGAACAATGCTGCTCGGGAGTTCTTCTTGACTCTGGACACCGAGTGCCGGGGACAGGTGCCAGCCTCTATGGCTCTATGACTTGTGACAGCTGCGTGTCAGTGAATCCCTTCACACCCCAAGCAACAAGCCCAGGACAGTTTCAGAACGTGACATGCACTGTATCATTCCGCCTCACCAAGCAGGATGCATGTGTCACTCTGTTTGGCTTCTTGTAGGTGCCATGGGCTACGATGTGTGAGGCGCCGCGGTTGAGCCTGTTGTACAACCGGTCGGTGCTGTGAGTCGGCGGTCGCCGCCTCCAAATTGTGTCTTATTGCTTGCCAGGCGTGCGGCTTTGACGACATAGACGACGCCCCAAAGGAGGATGCTACACCCCGTCTCGCCAGTGATGCTCTTTTCTCTCCGGTCGCTCTCTCTCCTTCCCTCCCAAAGTTTGGATAAACACCTGACTCACTGGAGGACGTTCGATTCACGGAGTTGCTGGCGGCAACCTTTGAGAGGAAGAAAGGCTTAAGCGAAAAGATGCTAAAAGCCCCACGCTTGGAAGCAAGAACCGATCAACAAGACAAGTTGTTGCTGTTGCATAGGCAGCGGGTAGCGGAGTGGCTCAGGCCGCGTATCAGAACTATGACAAATCTGGAGATCAGAAGGCCAGGGTGTTGAGCAGACATGCACCACATGCTGCAACCGTTGCATTTGCGATCACGCGATCCTTTCCGGTTGCAGTGGTTGTGTTGAGCAGATTTGCACTACGATGCAACCCTTGCATTTGTAATAATGTGATCGTTTTCCGATGGTAGTGGTTTCCCTGCCTGTCATATCGGACAGGGCCGGCACTGCACGGAGCATTTAAACAAACTGTTTCGTAACGAGGCTGATGCACCATTATATTTTATACGCGAAGCATGTTGCAGTTTATGGCCGACACATTGGAAGGTGTCGTTACAAGATCTGCGAGAAGGTCGCCTGATAGGTCTCGGGCTCAGCGTCTGCTGGGTCTCCCAAGCGTCCACATGAAGCCGACGGATAACGGATCGTAAGTTGCGAGACGAGAACTAGACTCGACAGCCTGCAAATGAGTCATGGGCCAAGGCCCCCTCACGGCCAAAGACTTCAAGCGCATCTCTCGCGACATCGGCGAGAATCAGCCAGACGACGTCGTTGACTTCGACGGCTTTGTCAAGATGCCACTTGGTGCAGAAGCTGTCCTCTTGTTGTTGACAAGCTTTCATGTGCAGTTTGATGCGGCTCGCGAATTCAAGACCCAAGGATGCGCATCGACAAGACCGGGCTGCCGCGTAGAGTTGAGATAGACAGACACATCTAGACTCTGTCAGTGTGGGCTTCCTGCCTTCCCGCACTCTTCACCTTTGTATCACTTGCCCTAGCACGCCTGGACATAGCTGTGCACTTCGCAAAACTAATCCCCGACTCCCAGGAAGAAGAATCACAAGAAGAAGAAGACAAAGAAACACAAGAAGACGACGACAGTGCATGAGCGCTCCCCCTTGCAAGCAACCAGCGGGTCCGTTTGCATCCGTCAGGGCGCTTGAGTGGAAACGGAATGAGATGCCGCATGAGGCACAGTTGTGGATGGCCTTCTTTCCGGTCGATGGGGGTGGGTTTGAATGGGCTAGTCAGTGAAACTGATTCCGCATCTACGACGAAAACGGTCGCAAGGACTCGAACTCTTGATCATCCCCACGCGTCAGACAGCGGCTTCCGCTCAAAACAAGACGAAGTTCGTCAGGTTTTTCCACTTCAGCCCAACAGTCAAGTACGACCATTTGAAATGTCTCGATTTGCTTAACAGGGACGAAGTTGTCCTCTGACGGGCGAGGTTGACCAGGTGCGAGACATGGCTGTCGTAAGGAAAAGTTCCAGGAAAAGGTTTGTCACGCCAGCCACTGTAGCAGACGGCTAGCCACCTCACCCGAGACCGCCGGAAGGATACGAAAGACGCTGAAGGATGCCTGGCAGCAAGCCGATGCTTCCGTACTCAGCTGCTTCTGCTTCTTGATGCTTGCCTCCACGCAAGGCCCGCGAAGCAGAGAAAGCAGCGAAGGCTGCCAAAGATGGAGCCGAAGAGAGCGATTGCTCTGGTGTAGCAGATGAGTAAAGTAGCAAGGGGATCTCCATGCTTGACGTCTTCAACATAAGAACGCACCGTGGAGCAAGCACCCAGGCATCGCTTGCTTTGATTGGTATAAGGAATGTTAGAGCATCGGCACAAACCTCCGCAAGGAGGTATGCGCTGCGGGGAATCCGAAACTGCATGCCGTGACCTGGTATACATCACAAAAGTGACTCGACCGGGAGTGCAGAGAATAGTGTACAGCCATCTTCGCAAATTTCAGCATCGCGTTTAAAGGGCAGAAAATCCTGCTGTGTCGTGTTGAGTGGGCCTTGGCCACAAACCACCCAGAGACACCAATGGTCGATGCCGATGAGTTTCCCTTCCTGGAAGTATTGAAATCATTCGCTTTTCCGTGAGAACATAATTTGTAATGCACTTCTGGGGAGGGAGCTCGTGCAGTGCAGCCGACAGCATGCCATAAATGCAGGCGATACTGCATACTTGCTGCATGTTGTGATTTGCTGAAGTGAAGGCAAGAAGCTGCAAAGCAAACCCCTCTATTCGATTCTCTTTGCTCAAGCAGGTCCTAAATTTGCTCAGCATACCTCAGGGCTCCAATTCGAAGGAGAGGAGGCTTTCGAGTTTTTAGGGCCTTTGGGGAGACGGGCATGTGGAGCTTGCGATGAGTGGTGCTGGAGCGGGTCCCGTGGGACTGGCGAGACGGCTTCCGGTGTTTGAGCCGCTTGCACGGCCCAGCTACGACCCCTTGGGGCCCCTGAGTGGCTATGATCTGGGCAAAGGGCCTCAGGGCGAGCCGGTGTGGAGCCGCCTCAAGAGTTCGATCTATCCAGTTCTCGACCTTTGCGTGGACGCATACTATGCATCGCTGAGCAGCAGTTTCCAGGGCGACATAGAGTTCACACATCACACAGGCGCCGTGCAAGAATTGATACGAGAGGGTGCTGATGTAGAGGTGCGGGACGAACTGAGTGGTGGATCGCCTTTGCATTTCGCCGCTGGCTCTGGATCTCAGGCAATTTGTAGAATCCTTCTGCAAGCAAGGGCGAGGGTGTGTGCAAGGGACGCCCGCCTTCAGACACCTCTTTGGTGGGCTGTAGCTGCAAACCACAGGAGCATTTGCGCAATGCTTCTTGAGCAAGACAGTCGTCAAGCATGCTCCGCCAACATTGACCACCTCACGCCTCTACACCAGGCTTCTCTTATGGGCAGGTCCGAGATTGTAGAGCTCCTTCTCGCAGCGACGTGTGGAAATACTGGCCTCCGGAATCGGTATGGCCGTCCTGAACGGCTCCCTTCAGGTCCAAACTTGCGAGCTGGGCGAGGACTCCTATCACCGCTACACGTGGCTTGTCGCCAAGGGAATTTAGCAACAACTGCAGTTCTCCTCAAAGCGGGTGGAGACCCGCAGGTGGTGTGCAGCCTTGGCCGCACCGCGTTGCATCATGCATGCGCCGGTGCTGGCACAAAGTCTCAAGGCAAGGACGGTGGGCCCGGCGGGCTCTTGGAGCTCTGCCATTTGCTCATCCGATCTCGCCCCTCCATCCTGTCGCTGCGAGATACACATGGAATGACTGCAGCAGAGCTGGCGCAGAGCAGAGGCTTCTTTCCACCGGAGCTCAGGCTACTCCTGTCTCGAGTGCCTCCCGCAGGAACGGCGAAAGACAGGGCCGGTCGGCGAGCCTCCTCTGTTTCAGGCTTCGTGCGCCGCAAGCCAGGTCCTTTTGGTGCTCTTCGTGCGGCTTGAGCCAAGCATCGGAATGCTACAGAATGCTACAGAGAGCTTGTTTCACTTGCGCTAACGAATTGATGTTCAGCCACTGAGCGCGTGTCAAGACACAAGGGTCCGAGTCTCTGAAGGATGTACTGCAAGCTTGGGATTGCAATGCTGCGCAAACAGCCTGTGCAAATTATGTCCGTATTTCGTGCTGTAAAACTGCTTGAGGCAAAACCAGCTGGATACAAGCGCCTCACAGAGATCATCGACGAACCGGTTCTCTTCAAAGGTGGAGTCAGGCGGAGTGGGTACGTGGCAAGGTCAGGTGGGCAAGCAACGCATTCGAAGGCCTGCAGACATCATCCAGGGGCAGATCGGAACTTGCTTCTTTTTGGGTGTGCGCTGCTGAGCCCGAGCCGTCACGGGGACTTTCGGAAGATCATCCCAGTTGCAGTACGAGGAACAGGTGTTGTGAGGTGCAGGCACCTGCATTCCGCCAGAATTTCTGCCCGACGGTAGTCCAACAGCTCAGCCCTTCTTCCAATCTTCGGCCATGGCTCGCGGCAGGAGGCACCTGGGTACACCTGGTCCCGAAGCAGCAAAAAAGCCACCACCTACTCATAGCCGAGCGATTCACAACGGCATTTGATGGCTGTCCTAACGCAGCATCGAGTTCCGGAAGATTCTGAGCCGGCATTCGTGCCAAGCTGCTGACGAGCCCATTTGTGACAGGAGCTCTTCGCGCGTCGTCCTCGTCCTGGGTGCTGGGGAACCTTGGACCAGTACAGGTTGAGGTGTGAGGTGCTTAGGACCAGAATCGGAAACTCGGCATTCACCCACCACTTGGAACTCTCAAGCCCGCTGGTAAGCTTTATCGAACTCTCTTCACTTTAGTCGACACGGACGAGTAATTCATGACTAACTGTGCCGCACTTTGAGTTTTAGGTGGCGGCCTATGTCACCGCCAAATCACTTCCTGGCTTCGCTTTCACCGGCCTTGGACGCGCTGCAAGCATGGGCCTTCAGCAGACGACACGGCGCCTCGAGTCCGTCTTGTTCTGTTTTGGAGGGCTGGAGTGCTGACGACCAAGTTATTGAGCAGTGCTCACACTGTTCGTCCCCAGCTGCACCTCCCGTTCCTTTTTTCTCCCTGCCTTGTTTGGGTCTTCGCCAGGTCATCGGTGCCAGGAGTAGAACGCCCTTTGCAAGCTCTGCCCAGCCGGCCGGCCCTTCCAGTTGGCATCGAGGAGGCGACCTGCCCCGTGGAGCCTTGTTGAGTCGGCTGATCTACTGGCGCAGGTGACTACGACCAGCTCTTTGCTGGAGAGCATGGGGCCTTTGGCTGTTGCTGGTCAAGCTGTGGCCGGCCTTGCCGCACTGTACGTCATCATGCAAGATTCTCAGAGATTTTCAGAATGCTTCAGCCGAGCATTCCGCATGTGTGTCTGCAGGTCCTTTTGCGAATATGTGTACCATCGCTACTTCCAGCATTTGGGCCCCTTGGTGTATCTCATGAGCCCTTTTGGGTGATTTTGGATGTGCACGTCTCACGAGTCTCTCCGTCGCCTCGAGACATGACTCAGGACTGAACAAGGTCGACGCTGCATCCCGACTGCAGTTCGGCAGTGCTGCAGAACGTGTAGAGTCCGAAGAGTATCATTGAGAAGCTCAGCCTTTCAGTACAAGGTTCGGGCAGTCCGATCAACCCTCAACTTGTCCACTTTCCGCGGCGATGGCCATGTGGAGCATCATCGGGACCTCAACCTCTCTTGTTGCTGCCAGTCTCTCAAGAGTCTCTGCAAGAACCTACAAATCAAGATCCCCATGCATCGACGTTTAAGACATGGAACCGGCAAGGCACAGGCCAACAAGTCTCGTGCACGCCGGGCGCTGTTTACTTTCATGTGCAGCTTCTAACACCTCAGCTGATGAGATAGCCGTCAGCCTGGATGTGCGCAGAACCTCTGTGCACTGTTCGAGAATGCGGAGCATAAACTCTTTCAACCCAATGTTCAAACTTGTACACAAACAGGCAGAACGTGCACCATGTCCGTAAACGTATTGAACGAACTTTTGCAATTTTGCTTTCTGAAAGCCGGTCTTGAAGATGTCTGTGCTAGTGCCCTGACCTGCCGAGTCCGGGCGTCGGAGAGGGTTGGAAAAATGCCTACAGATTCTTAAATTGGAAACATCACCGTGGGGTTCTTCTTACATTGATTTGGGGAAGACACTTTGCCTGCAACCTCAACAATGCCAAGTTGGTACAAAACCCTCTGAGCATACGAAAGATAGCTCGCCAAGCCAAGGCTCTTGTAAGTTTGTTGTTTAAACTCATTGGAATGATCAACTTTTTCAGTGAACGTGCATTTCGAAGGTGGGGTTGGCAGCTCACTGGCTTACGGTTCGATGCCCGTGTTTCCTGTTATCTGTCTTGTGGTGGCAGTGGGGTGGTGGCGAGACGTGGCGAGGGCTCATGACGTGTGGGTTGGACGAGCGTGAGAAACGCGTCCAAGCGCGGCACATCAGAGTATCTGCTGAAAGGGGAATCAATCCATCCACCCCGAAACCTTATCAGATTATCAGCAAATCTTGAACATCCGTCAGAGTTCTCCGAACTTTCGAGCCACCAAACCATGTTTTGGCAACCTCCAAACACTTCCGACACCATCCAGCAGTTTTTCTAGGAGCACTTGCTAGACATAGAATAGCGCCAAATTTTCGGAAATTACCATGTTGGAACTCGCTCTGCAACAGAAGAGATGCCTGAAGGTCAAACTTCTCAACAAACATGTGACAGCGAATCACGGAAGTGAGAGCTTCAATGCGTCGAGAAGGCTTGAGCTTCCCGAAACCATACTAACTAGCGCTCTCTAGTTAGAAACTCGCAAACTTGAAGGCACAATTGCAAGATTTCGTTTGCACTCTAGCTTCTAATGTAAACACCCGGATAGAGTTGGTCTTCCCCGGAAGCCAGTCTTTCAGCCAAAGCCTAAAACCAAAGGAAGTTCCCTCTGATCAACAGAATAAGCATGTTCAAGGTTTCTCTTCAGCGTCTGCTGGCTGCATCACTTACTCTCTCTTCTTCGGCGGGAAAGATAAGAACAAAGCCAAGTAAAGGAGAAGGTGGGAAGCCACTTTTGCAAATGTGCCGAGAAGAGGATAATAACATGGCAGAAGTGGAAACCCATACCAAGCAAGACACAGACCCTTTCCGCGTGAGCTGCTAGGTCTCAAGGGTCCGGCGAGCGCATGAACTTTGACATTCTTGTGGGTGACACTTGCTGTTGGGCTTTCCTGCTCAGAGGGTTCATGTCCGCCTTCTCAGTAGAGTTGGGACGAGTTCCCTGCGGTGCGACATTGTTCGGCTGGGCGGGTGACGAAGGACACGCGAGGTAAGAGCACGATCCCCTTGTTTTTGTTTGCCTTCGCATGCCTCTGAGGGTTGGTCTTCTTTGGTTTTCGCGTCTCGTATGATCAAAAGGAGAGATGAGACGGTGAGACACCTAGGAAAGCAGACGACCTTGCGCATGTTTGGGACGCGGCAAAAGACCAGGGCGGATAACCAAGCCAGAGGGTAACCCCCCAACTCAGTATCCCGGACACAGGAGACAGTCGAGGAAGACATGAGCCTTACTATCGAGCCTGGACGCGACCCAATCTTGGACATGGACCCCTGGAGAGGTGGAATCCATGCTTATGCGGACTGTTCAGCATTCACTCCCGCATGTCGTTTCTGCAATTGCATGCAATCTGATCCTGTAGGTACCTGCTTCCCATGGGATGGTTTCGCGAAGATGAGCGCTGGTGTCATGTACCTTCCCAGTAAGCCAGTCGTACCGACACACAGGTGCGCATCTCTGCCTTTCAAAGCTTCGGTTTCCCGAGGCTCCTTGCATACCCAACCCTGACCTTGCTGGGCTGGTCCGGCTTCGCCACTGGATCCGCAGGGAGTCGGTCAAGTAGACTGCAGACGCATGGAGAAAGCGGCAGCAACCGCGAGAAGTTTTATGCAGAAGAACTTGCAGACACCTGCAGTAGTGTGTTCTGCCCAGTCTAGGCAGCAAAAGCAACTAGCAGCTTGTAGCAGTGCTCTAACCTCATGCGGAGGTAGTCTGTAACCACAGCTTCGGTGAGGTCATTGTCCCGGTGGTGATGACCGCTATGATGCTGCACGCATTGGTTTGGAACGCGCTTTTCCGGCAGTTGGCAGAAGTAGCAGGTCGTCTCACTCACTTGCTTTACTCTTTTGGATTGCAGGCGTTCCCGTCCCCGCTTAAATCCCCATACATATTCGCAACTGCATCACCTACAGTTCTGCTGAAACCTGAGGATTGTTCTGCGCAGTAGTTAAGGTGGACCGAGTGTAGTTTTTTCGAGTCGATGGTAGGCAAACGGAGCAGATCTGAGGAAGGACAGCACTTGTCTTGCTCAGGCTCTTCACCCGAACATGCATGGCCTGGAAGATGTCCCGATGGAGGCGGTGGAGCGGTGTTGTGTCAAGGGTCATCTCCGGTTTCAATTTGTTTTTGCAGGTTGGTGCGCCAAGCTGGGTCCTCGCCGGCTTGCGTGACTCCGCAGTGTTCAGCTACCTGCGCACGAATCACGAAGGCACCGGTAAGACTGCAAACCGTAGTGCAGGAAGATGGGAGCTGCCTGGTTGGCTGACCAGATTCTGTGAAGTATGATGGAGGACACCACAGAGCCACTGGTTCCCACGGCAACTACAACGTTTGCTGCCCTGGAATGGATCAAATCGCCGACCCCCTAGCTGTGGAAGAAGGAACAATCAAGCTTGAGCCTTGAGCTAAATCTTTCTAACGAGCTGAGTCACTGAGCAGGTTGGCACTACCGTTGACTGTGTGACAGGCTGCTTGCGTGCACACAGATTTGCCGTCTTTGTCGTCCAGTTTATTCCAACGAGGTAGAGCTGAGAGTCGCGTGGATTGTGTGCGGCATGGGACGGCACCAGTTGCAAGGCGCTCCGCTGCCCAAGCCTGTTCCAGATTGGGTGACACTGCTTGTGGCCGTCGCCGCTGCTCCGCTTATGCCTGCTTTTGCGTCGCTTGCCGAATAATGTGATGCGGGCATAAAACATATGACAGTTTCGGCTTCCGGCATGTAAGTGAGAGCTTTTTGTTTCCTCAGGGTCGTTTGCTTGGTGGTGCTGATCTCTTTCCCTCCTCTTCCGCGAGCTGCCGAGTTGGGAGCCAAATAAAAGGTGCCTCAGCTGCATCTCTTGCAAAAGGAAACGTCCCGGGCAGCGGAAGCTTCTTCTGCGGCCAAGGCTTGGAGACCGCCACCATTGAGGCTGTGGCTGCCGCACGTAGGCTTGACGAAGCCGCAGATGTGAGCGCCGGAATTGTCTATCTTTTCCTTGCCTAGAATTCTGCAAGTTTTGACGCCTCCCAGCTGGCATTGAAAATTTTCCGTGCGATGTTTCCATGTATCTAGCAGCATGCAGTCCTGCCAGGGTTGTGTCTCAACTCGATAGGAGCAAGCAAGCAACACGATGTCAAAAGCGCTGGGACGTGCTTTGATGTGGATGAGCAAGATGCCTCCACCAACTGATATCCTTAGCCCCTATAGGCATACGTGCCTGATTTTCTGCAGCTGCGCGGATGGGATGCAGTAGTGGAGCACATACTTCTCAGCCGGTGGGTATTCTGCGACAGCTTTCCCAGCTGCATCACCGTCTCAGGCATAGCCGCTATCCTCTAATCCCAGACATTTTCACAATGACCTGTTCAGTTTTCTCAGCGAAGCAATTCCTTCGGCTCGGCCGGGATTGCACACGGAGCATAGCTTCTTTTGGAAGCTTTCTTTTCCAGGTGAGAACTCCATGTTCCTGCACAATGTCTCACGCAAGCTCAGCGTTTCTTCTGGCCTTGGTAAGCCTCCGCCACTACGGTGCGAGGGAACGTCAACGTGATCTGAAGCAGCAGGGCTTGTGCAGAATGCTGCCAGTCGGTCGCCAGCTTGCGAAAGTAGCAGCAAGCAGGAGATGAGCTGTCCGGTGTGCCCTGCACGCTGTCATTCACACGAGAACTTAGACCATCGAGTGAATGTGGCAACGAATCAGAAACATGAGCCAATGCTTGTTTGGGGTTTCAGCGCCCCCCCCCCCCGTCCCTTTTTGCAGCGTGCCTCATCCTCCATGCAGCAACCTCTGCTGCGTCGACACAACCGTAGTCAGCGCACCAAGTATCTTACCACGCCAAGGCGCTGGGCGCAATGGCCACGACACCCAGCGGTTTGATGTAGCCATATTCTGCCTTACAGAGGTGACAGCGTGGCCGCGTGATGCTGCATGCTTGCTGAGGTTGGTGAAGATCCAGACAATGTGCGGTCTTGCTTCCTGGAGCACGACATAGATGTTGGCGTGTATGGCATCAGGTTCACACGGTCTGATGTGAATGGTGTGGAGTTACATCACGACTTGTGCCGAGCCTTGAGAACCAACCTGCCATGATATCGCAGGTTCTTCCTGGATGGGGAGTGGTATCACACGATCATTGATGACCTGTGGCGGCAATTCTTCTCGTGCTTGGGCTGTGCGGACTGTTGCGACTGTTACGAATGCTGTTGCTCCATTGCGCGGAGCATTTTAGTGCAACAGTGTTTTGCCGTAATGCAATGCTGCATCATCACGTGTTCCCGGATTCTGGACTGTTCATACTGTCAAGGACTGGATGCCCGTTGATCAGTACGGTCGGCTGCTGCGCAAGGCTGAGCTATTCATTTGTGGACAGGTTGCATGCGCTTCGAGAATGTTTGCTAGCTCAGGTATGCCAAGAGCTACGACCATGACGAAGTGCTTGCTCCTAAGGTATTGGGAGGGATTGGACATGCTCAACGGATGCATTTCAGCCATGCAGCATGCATACCGCGGGCAAAGCGCAGTTCCACTGCGATGGCGGCGCCGTGTAAAGGATAGATGGTGCGGCACACTATGACAGTTGTACCGCGAGGTGGGTGCCTCTTCTGGAGAAAGCTTTCTGCAAGCCGTGGCCTTTGCCCATGCCGTAAGAGGTCCGCACAGTCGAGCAGTCCCTCAGGATGCATAGATGCTATGAGATGTGCGACGGCGGTTTGCCTGGAGAGGCTGCCTCGCACCTGTTGCCGATGTCTGGAGAGGCTGTTGGCGCAATGCGCTTTTTTCCAGGCCGTCTCACTCCTTTTCGGCGGTGCCATGGGCAAGTTAGGCTCCAAGCTCCAAGAAGGCTTCAGGTTGCCCTTGTTGCAAGGAAGTTCCACAGATGAACCGCCCATCCTGTGCTTCCCGTCGCTTTGCGCAGGCTTTAGCCAGATTGTGGAAGAGATTCAATGATTGCAAAGCGCCGCTGACCTCAAAACCATCTCAAATCAGAACTCACTCTAGACTCTAGGCCATGCGTTGTAGTTGTTTTTTCAATTACCACACATGAGAGCATTTGTCGTCGTGCTCTGTGGGGGAGGCCTCACCACCAGCTTGTCGTTCTCTGACGTTCACAGTCACCGTAGCCAGCAGTTGGCACCATGTACAAAAAGCAGATGGAGAACCGGCTGCGCCAATGGACCAGCAGATTTGCCGTGACTCGGTCATTCCGGAGCCCATCCCGACTGGACCTGTCCCCGAGTGCAATCTTCCGCTTGCCTTTTCTTAGGCTTCCAGCGTTATGGGATGCCTCGTTCTCTGGGGCATGCGACGCCTTCTGCGCCGAGAGTGGTTGAGAGCTGTGAGTTGTCAAAATGTCACAGAAGGGATTGGCTCCAGTGCATTTCAGCTTGATTTGGCACTTTTTGCTTTCCTTGCAGACGCGATGGCTGGAGCTTTTTCTCACATGGGAGCCCATCGGCTGCAAGGTTCGATCCGTGCTCGCAAACACCTTCACCTCCTTCGGCGCTGCTGCTGCAAGCAATGAACGAGCATCGCGCTCGGCCTTGGTGGACGAGTCCATGGAGCCTCGTGCAGAGGCAGACGTGTCGAAGACTTGCCCTAAACCCCACATCCAAAACCTTCAATGTCTGCTCTTTGTGCTGCGCCCCGATGGTGCTCTGTCCGTGATCTTGGTCTTGGGTGCATGTTAAACTCAAGCATAACATCTCGAATGCCACTAATCACATGATGCTAGAATCTCGCGAATTATGGCGATGAAGCGTCTTCTGTGGAAATCTTGAAAGGCGAGTGATGCCTGCAGAACCCCGGGGTATTCTGCCTAGAGCGATGACGAGAAGTAGTCTGAACACAGCTTTTCAGCCCCACAAAGAGTCCTTACTTCGGGATGCAAGAAGGAGCTCGAGCTTCCGCTGCCGCTTCAGAGCAAAGTCTTGAGGCACATCTCCTTTTACGCCCCTGGCCTTGACAGTTACAAGGCAACAGGCTGACACTGCACTGTCTCGCAACTGAGGATGTTTATGATGTCGGCGACGAGGTCTTTGCATGCCTTTGCCTTGTCAGCATGCGCCGTAGTTCTGGTCTCGGGATGTCTGTTGAAGGAATATGTATGCGACATCGATCCACCGCCCGTGCAGGAGGTGTTGGGCACCGGAATGCATGGCGCCGTTTTGGTGGCCAAGCATCGCAAGAGTGGTCGCAGGGTGGCCGCAAAGTGTCTGGAGGGTGCAGATGGGCCGTTGCCAGACGAGGCCGGGACTGGCGAGAGTTTGCTCTGCACATTGGATTCATACGGCTGGTCGCCAAGGTCAGCTTGTATCTCCGCCTCTCGCATCCCAACATCTGCCGACTGCTGCAGGTGCGCACAGATCTTATCGTCGAATTGAGCTGTTGAAATAACACTACATTGGCCACTACATTAGCATAAATCCACACGTGCGAAAACCCAGACTCGAGTCATGCAGGTGCTGAGTCAAGTTTCAAAGTCTCGATGTTCAGGGTCCTTCATTCTGTCTCGCCTCGGATGCCAGACTCAGATGTCGTATGTTCCCAAGGCACAAGTACACGGCAGTAGTCGGGGCCGTGACAGAAAACACGATGGTAGTGCAGCTTTCGATCCCGACCATACTTGTCAATGAGAGGGAAATGAGTTGGCTGATCAGGTCAGTAGAGCATGTAAACACCGGGAATTGTAACCTTTGCAGAAGACATGAAGGCAGCAGGTCGTGGAAAAAGATTTTACGCACGCTCTCACCCTCCAGTTTGCACCAAGTGACTGACATCCCCTTTGTGTTACATTTTCGCTTGCAGGTGAGCCGAAGCCGATCTGACTTCCCACGAGAGCACATCCTCCTTGACAGATCAGTGCTGCACAAGCCACCCACATGCGCACGGCCCCCCTCCTGACTAGCACCGAAAGGTAGTGTGCTTCACAGAGAAGCTTCATGACGGTTTTCGAGGCGTTGCTTGTGAATGCATGACCAAGACCGACGGTAGGCCTAGGCCTGAGCCTGTACGCGGGTTGAGCTCAGGCCCTCCGGCCGGGAGCTTGCAGAGCTCCTAGAAGTATTTTTCCTTTTTCGAAGCCTGGCAGTCGTCCTCAGGAAAGCATGTCTCCAGCACATGTATAGCACATCAATACGTCAGTGCAGATGGTGCCACCGCACAGACCTATCATCTGCTATCCTGCTATCCTGTCATTTTCCAGTACATATTCGGCCTACACCCGTCTGTGCTGCCGTTTCGTCATATCGCCAGCATGGGCTGCGGCGGTCGTAGAGTCGTAGATTATTCGCAGACAATCGCTTGAAAGCTCCCCGCAGGCTTTCATAGAAAAGAACGGCGACATCTGGCTCTGCATGGAGCTCTGTGCAGGAGGCGGCTGAGAAGTTTCCAGCTTCATTCTGGAACCCGCTTTCAAGCGTATGATTGACGGCGGCAGGTGAGCTGTTCGAGCTGGCGGCCGGAACTTCATCCGTTGTGCGGCAAGGACTTGCCATGCTGGACACAGAGGCTGAGTGCCCGTATTTCTCCATGCGTTTTGTTGAGTAGCTCTGGCAGGCCAGAATAGCAGTGCTGGTGAAGCAAATGGCTGCTGCCATACGCTACATCCATAGCATGGGCATGGTGCACCGCGACATCAAGCGGCTAAGACGCACACGGAATGGATTCAAGTTGTCTACAAACATAACTACGAGGTGGCCTGAGACTGCTTCGGTGTGCCCGCCGAGGTTGGAAAACTGGGTCTTCGCATCGCCGGCGCAGGAAAGGCTTAAACTAATCGACTTCGGCTTGGCCACAGCGTACATTGCCGGAAAGGATGACAAAGGTGGGTTGCGTCCTGACACATGTCATGCATGGAAATCGCTTGGGCCATCGCCCAGTCCACGAAGTGCTAGGGCGCACCCAGAAGCTGAACCAGATGTGCGGAACTTGCTACTACGTCGCACCTGCAGCCTGTTTGCACCAAGTGGTGGAGATGTGTCGAGATTCGAACTCGTTGTGTTCACAAAATCGAAGCCGTTCAGCTTGCACAGCATGGAGCAGCCAAGGAAGTGATTGGATTGAAGGACGGCGCAATTTGCAAGGGCGATGGGTACGGACAAGAGGTAGACATTTGGGCGCTCGGGGTGCTCGTGTACATGCTCGTCAGCGGAATGCCTCCATTCAACGGCAAGTCGCACGCCGATGTGATCTGGATGCTCAGTTAGAGCCAGAAGATGTTTTGTAGCTTTAGGCGATATAGCAGACAGTGGCGATATAGCAGACAGTTTGCTCTAAGTGGTCTCCCTCTGTTTTAGTTGCTACTTTCATGATTTTCAGGATATCTTAGATGTAACCAATAAATCGCTCAAAGTCCGGATAGCCACGGAAAGATGCTAAGCAGCCGGCAGCAGTCCCAGCACTTTACCTGTAGCAAACTCGTGTCTATGTCTGCTCTCAGATGATGGCAGATAGGGACGGACACATTCGGTGAGGTGGGTGTCAGTTATGTTGTCCTACTTGCGACGCTTCCATCTGCCCTTATAGGCTTTACATATCCGGTTCATTCCGTGGAGATTACCTGCGATCTGAACGCACACAGCCTGTGCAAAATCTTCCCAAGCACGGTTGTCGGGCAAAGGAAATGTATGCACTGAAGGGCGTGAAGCTACGTGGAACCCAGCCGCAGCTGCTCCTAGCATGAACGATGCTTTCATTCGGTGAGGAATATTGCGAACTTTAAGTTCTGCGATGACCCGCTGGCAGACGCTTTTGTGGGCCCGCGATGGGAAAACGTCTCGCCGCAGTGCAAGGCCAGAAATCTGTTGCTGAGCTCCGACAGGCGCATGTCACATGGAGCTCGTCAGGACTTGATTCGACGGTGTATGGAGCGGGACCCTCAGAAGAGGCGGTCCTGGCTCCGATCCATTCAGTATGAACTTCTGCTCACGCTTTGGCTTCCGGCTCCCGGGAGCCATGGGCAGGCTGACGGCTGCTGGTGTCCAGGTGCATCCTTGGCTCTGCCAAGTCGGGTCGAAGGGGCCCGTGGCGCCGGTGACCCTGGCGCCAATCCTCAAGGACACTGGGAGAGTCTTACAAAAGATCTTTCCGGGAGGTCAAAAGCTCCTCGATCATGCGCGCAGGATCTTTGCTTCGCTGGAAATCGCATGGCTACTTGTGGAGTGCTAGCGCAAATCTGCTGTGACATGGCTCCAGAATGTCAGAAAAAGTGCTGATGCCATTGTCTGAGCAGTTGTTTCGAGCAAATTCCCATAATCCTGCAGTGAGGTAGCCTTGCATCGACCATTTACTTGTCTCCGGAGACATGGACAGCTTACAAGGACGAAAACCTTATCCGCATATGCATAAGCCAGTGGATCGGGTGGCAAGCGAACCACCCCAGCAGGACCACTTCGCAAAGCTCGAATGCCTGGAAACCCTGGCGCCCAAGGGTTCGCTCTCAGTTAGCAAGCTGGTGTCTGCCTTCGAGGACTTCTCGGGGTCAAGCGAACTTGGAGAAATTTTTAGCTGAAGCGGACCACTTCAGCAGTGGAGAGGGGGGGGGAGGGCGGGGGTCGGGGCAGAGTGAGTGCAAAATGGCGTCGGTGGCTATGCGATGTGCTTTCGATTAGAACACATGGGACGAGTTCGCCAGGAAGGTGGTGTAGGAAGCTGATAGCTGAACTAACTAGAGCCTGGGTTCAACAAGAACTAGGACCTGAACTAGAAGCTGCACATCTGTTGGTTACAGTAGAACTCCTGATCGGGAGCGCATTGAAATTGGCTCTCTCCTGAAGGCACATTGGCAGTGGACCAGCAGTAAGTCGAGCCAAGACTTAGCGAACCGGGGTTCGTTTGATCTTCTGACCATAGGGATAGACCGTTAGCATTCTTGATGTCAAGTGTTGTTTCGTATATCCTCCGACGACAGATACGTGAGCCAATGTTGCACAAGTGTTGTTCTGCCGGGTGTGCTTAATGCGTCATGATTCATCTCTGTGGGATTCCAATGAAGGAGGCAATGGCCAACAAGACTGGACTTGATCAAAAGCCTGCCGAGCTGAAGGAAGTGATCCGTTGCCGCAGTTAGTATGACTTCTGATAGGCCCATCCTGCCTCAGTATCATGCAATCGAAAGGACAAACCAGAAATGAAGCAGAGGACTTGAATCTAAACCCTGCTGGGCAGTGTTTCAATTCCATGCAGCAAGGGACTCCTTTCGAGCCATATCTTCTTTGGATATCACGGGTGATGGGCGGCTGCACTTCTTCGAGTTCTTGGGCGCCATGATCGCTGCGGGTCGGATTCAGCTCCTTGGCTGAGACATTCCATCACTGAACAGAGTGCCTGGTGGCCGAGCCCTGGGGAACTTTCCAGGATTCATGAGCACGATATCGCTGATGTGTTTGCGGCGTTCGATGTGGATCGTGACGATGTGATCTCTGAGCAAGACATGGCCAGTTTCATCCACAATGACAGCCGGGCCACCAGCTCAGCTAGAACGTTATGCGAAACGCGACCGAAAGGCATAACGCGAATGTCCTCGGCAAGGGTGCGTGCGCACGTAGAAGACAGTGGGATTGAGCTGTTCGAAATGTGATGTGCTCGCTTGTTTCTACTTCTGCAAGTGCCTTGTCTGGACAATTTGTGAGGTTCTGTCCAACGCTGTTCAAAGTGCCGAAAAGCTCCAGCTTCCAATCAAAGATCATGACCTGCTCCTCGAGGCTCTCAACAGGCTCGGCATGATTTTTCTTTCCCTCACATTCAGCCTCGCATGCGCCTTCGCCATGACCCTCCATGACCCATATCTGTCACAGCCAGCTCTGTCTAAGAATCTGGCAAGCGAGCCAGGAAGCCTACGTGGGGCGAATCCGAGAAGCCTCCAGCTGTTGAGCGAGTGGCGAACTCGGCAAGCCCATCACCCCAGGCTTGGCAGGTTTGAGCATTACATGTCACAACATGGCAACATGGTGTCCGGTTTCCGGTATTCGGGCCATGTGCTTCGCAGCTGATCTATGGCTTACCGCCTGTTCGAAGCTCCGGAACGACGTGCTTTGTCTGAAATGTGGATTTGACAGGCCGCCCCTAGCGGTGCCGGCATGCAGCGTCTCCTGAGCAAGGCCTTCGAGCAACAGACCGTTCTGCGGTTTGCGTTATCAAAAAGTTGTTCCATGCAGCCCGTCCAGCACCGGCATCACCCGAAAGGCCAAGCTACAAATGGAGTGGAAGGTGCAGCGTCAGGCCAGTGCACGTGCGGCACACTTGGCTCTATTGCGTGGGTCGGGCAAGATGTCTTGCACAGGTCGCTTTTGCAGATGTTCGTTCTGCAGTCAAGTTGAAAAGCCTGAACCGTGGCTGGCGCACGCCCGACCCATCTCCGACGCGAATTGAAAAGGAAACCTGGCACAAGGAATTCATTTCGTTCTTCAGATTAAGGGTCCTCATGCCCTCATGCCATTCTTCGGAGCTTTGTGGCCGGACGTAGTTGAACCACGATGAGCCCATTGAAGGCGTCAAGGACAGGGGTAAGAAGAGGTACGAGCGTATTTCAAAAAACTCGCAATGATCAAGGAGAGCTGACTATAGCGACTTTACCGTGGAACTTTGATGAAGCGACTCTGCTTGCATGTCCTGGCACAAAGGAAAGCTCGCCTGAGAACGGGGTCGGCTTAGTGACCTGGCATGGTGAAGACTTGGCCGTCTTGGGACCTTGGACTCGTGCTGATGAGAATGAAGCAACAACGGTAAGCTCCCCAAGCGCACACCACACCCGCCGCTGTTTTCAGGTTGGCCGGAACCGTGGGAAGATGGCCCAAAGTATGTTGACCTTGACGGACCTTGACAAGAAATGAAGCGCTCCCGTGCATCAAGTTTCTTGAGCACGAGTTCTTGATTTTTCGCTGTTTTCCCCCAGTCCTTACAAGACGGTATGGAGTACCGCACCAGTTGAGAGCCCCAGGCACGCAGAGGGATATTTACAACAGTCAGCTTCGAAGGGCTTGCAGGTGGCTTGGGCTTGGGGCTTTCAGGTTATTCTCATGCGGATGGGACATGGCAGTACGCTCCGGATCCCGCATTTCTCACGTACCACGTGAGCGCAATGTTGCTCGCAACTTCAATAGCCCGCAGTCATCTGCAAGTGCTTTCCTCGTGGCGTTTGCAGTATTGCATAGGACATTACTGGTCCCCGACATTGGTGTAGCCCTGAAGGGACTGTCCTGTTGGACATCAACATTGTAGGTTTTGTAGAGTATTTAAGTGCCAGTTTAGAGGGATGGTGCGCGCCTCTTTCCTTGCTGGTGCGCTGCTGCTCAGGACGTCATACAGTTAGTCAAGCGTGAGTTGCAGCATGTACATGGATGCCTCTTTCGGTCAGATCGCATGGGCCTCGCCACCAGTGGTGCGGTCGCCATCCCAATCAATTGTCAGTTGCTTCTACAGTCGAATTGCCGTTGCCAGACCTGTACAGAATCCGGCTTCGGGATGCATCCGCAGGGTCAGAGTTTGTGCGGTGAACTTGGCTCATTTGGTAGTGAGCCCGCGTGCAGCGAGAAGTGTTGAGCGCAGCGATCATAGTCTTAGCCAGCGTTCCTGCTCGCACTCGCACCGGATCTTCACCCACACTCAGGTTCAAGATCAAGGAGAAGACCAGGTACAAGCCCCTAGCCGCCGGTGTCTACTATGAGGCTGTTTGGCTGATGCCAAAGCTTTCGGGTGAAGGGACTGACAACAACAACAATGAAGCCTTCATAGTCGGTCTTTGCGCGCATGATTCGATGCCGTTCTATGTGATGATGACGTTGCTAGTTGCACTGCCCTGTCAGACCTTGCGCGACGCGTGCAGCCCTCAGATTCGTGGAAGGCTTTGCCACATGCCACGAAGCAGGGGACGGAAAATGCTTGGGTCAAGCAGCAATCAGGCATGAGGCCGGTTGGGTGCTCTCCACCACCTTTACCAAGTCCAGGGCTGCAGGACAGTTGAAAGCTCCGACTCTGGCTTTCGGGAGGTGTCACGGCAGTCCGGCAGGTGGTCCCTTGATTCTTCCGCTGCGTTTTCGTCCAGACTGATGCATGTCATCTCTTCAACACCCTGTGTGTACTGAATTCATCTCTCTCGCTCTCTCGCTCTCTCGGTCTCTCGCTCTCTCGGTCTATCGCTCTCTCGCTCTCTCGCTCTCTCGCTCTCTCTCGCTCTCTCGCTCTCTCGCTCTCTCGCTCTCTCGCTCTCTCGCTCTCTCGCTCTCTCGCTCTCTCTCTCTCTCTCTCTGTCTCTCTCTCTCTCTCTCTCTCTTGGTCCCGTGAGAAGACTGAGCACATTGGCCAAAAGCCATTGTGCTCAGATCGGCCACATGCCTCCACATGGAGTCGCGTTTCCCGTCTGCTGTTAGCAGTGCTGTTGCCATTGCTCCTCGTGGGAGCCCCGATGTGAGTAATGGCTGTGACGAGTGTCGTTAGTTATCTAACTTCGTCTGCAGGAGGGAAAGCTGGGCAGGGAAAGTGCGGGGAGGCAGCCTCCCAAGTGTCATGTGAAATTCCTTCTCCAGTTCTGCACTCCTCAACAGGGCATTACCAACGATGGTCTCGTGCATGGGCATGCTGACTGCTCAGTTGGGTATCTTTCATGTCGACGCACATGGTAGACAGTGTCCTTTCTTGCCGGATCGCCCGTGAGTCAGGTGTACTCTGTGCTCCGCGTAGTGGAAGCTTTTGGCAACAAGCTAGTTTGCTGTGCCGGGCTTGGCACTTAACCTTGGGGTTCCAAGCCGGTTCGGTCCAGCCCCGAGGTCGAAATCCGTGGGGCCAAGGCGAATGGAAGGGCAAGTGGTCCGATGCGCCCTTGGTCTGCACTCAGCTCGACGCGTGCTGACATGCACGGAGAAGCTGTCTTGCAGAGGAACTCTTTCGGTGAGTGGACACCGGAAATGAAGGCTCTGCATCATTCAAGCTGGGAAAGGGTTTGGGGATCTACAGTTGCATCGGATATTGGACCTGTCGAAGCATAAACAGGAAGCCACGAACTACCGTGGCGGTGACGATGGTACCTTCTGGATGAGCATTGAGGACAATGTGATGTGGATAGCGGCTCGCTGTCATGCAGCCGGTTGGTCTGTGAACTTAAGGAGTTGACGTGCAACTCAATTAGCCGAGGCTTTTCAGGAGCCATCCCGTAGATGAACCAAGCGATGTGCAGTCGCAACTATCACCCGCCAACCAGAAACGAAGCCCGAGATCAACAATCGGCAAGGTGCGGCTTGTATGTTTCTTGGTAAGTTCCTCCTCGAGACCCCAAACACTCAGAGTGTCAGTCTCCTCACTTCAGCATCATATGGGTTGAGAACACGCCACGATGCTTTTAAGTTGGTAGATCGCCGCTTTGGAGCCAATGGCTGGCGACGAGCGGCGAAGCAAACCCGGCTGGAGCTTGGCGCTGCTCTCAAGAACTCAAGAGTGGGTCGTCGTGAGAATTCGTTTTGATCGCTGGCAAAAGATCGCTTTCGGCTTCAAAAGGCGCGGGACAAACCGCGGCCCAAGAAGAAACAGGGCTGGGAATGTCCGGCTCCGACGGTCGAGGACCACGTTGGGTGGGTGCAGTCAGTTTGTTGGGTGATGCCTGGCTGCTGTTCCGGTTTAAACTGCCATTGCCATGACAGGACTGGGAAGACTACAAGCAGTGGTTAGAGCAGCAGGCAGAACCCTCCAAGCCGGATACCATTCATTGCCATTCCAACTCAATCTCTTTGATCGAATTAGCGCTTCTGGGTTCAGCAGCAACGAAAGGAGCGGAAGGAGGAGCTGCCTGCAGCCCCTCAAATCTTTCTCGCCGACTTCTCGCTGCTCTTCCACCAGGAGCTATGCATCCATCATGCGTGCGTGAATGGGTTTTATTTTCCGCCGAAAGTGTAGACAAAGTTTGTCGAAAAAGGAAAACAGTGTTTTCACTTGTGTGTGAGTGACACTAGACAAACTTTGCCGTGCAGCTTTCGGCTTGGAGTTGGATCTGTGATCCAAAAAATTTTTGTAGAGTAGCTTGTAGTGCTCCGCAGTAGTGGGGGTCGTCAGCGACGACTTTCCACTCCCTTTGATATAACTGTCAGTGGCAGTTATGGTTGATCAAGCAGCCCGCACCTATGCGGCTGAGTCGCCAGAGGCGCCGTACCCTAGAAGGGACGGTCGAGAGAATCAGTTGGCAGCGCCACAATGCCTGCAACGCGTGCGACAGTGTCGCTCCTGTCTCCGTTTTTTGCAGTGCAATCCAATTTTCGTGCTAGAGCAGGCCATGCGTGAAGAGATGGCACAACAGGAGATAAGTTATCTCCTCTGGGCCATTAGCTGTGCCATGCGGGTAGACCCCGCGGTCGTCAGCGACGACCATGAATCTCTGAACCGCGCAGGGGAAGGGGAGTCCAAAGTTTGGCCTCCCTTTTACCCTTTCGCGCAGATGCAAGGGGAACAACCGGACACCTCAGGCAGTGCCTATCCGATGCACCGGTATACGATGTCGCAGCGCGACGTGCCTATGCGGCCAGCGGCCACACCTGGCTGGCCGTATACCGGCCTTTTTGACTGGCCCCCCAGTGGGGAGGAGGATAATGTCCCCAAACTCCAGTGGAGACTTAATTGGGTGGACGCCCTAGAGGGCCACGTGGCCACCAAGGTGGAAGCCAGCGGCTTCCATTGGCACCCAGAGGGTAAGGGCAAAGGCAAGGGTGGTTGGGTCAAGATCCTCCCTTCGGAGAAGAAAAAGAAGAAGACTCACAAAGTTGCCAGCGGCAGCACCGACCCCACCGCCTCGTCCAGCACCGCTCTGCCGACAGCGTCGGCATCGGCCTCGGACCCTCCCTTACCGCCGCCAGCGGCCGCTCCTGCTAAGCCCGCTGCGGCCACAACAGGCAGCCCGCCCGCAGCCGAAGCTGCCGACGTCGCTCCGCCAGAGGCGGAGCCTGCCATTGAAGTTATCGATACTGACAGTGATCAGAACTCGGGAGATTCCGAGGTATCCCTGGCTAGCAGCCAGGCCGCAACGGCAGTGCCGTTTGCGCCCAACGCGAACACTGTGGTCGTGTCCCGACCGCAGCGTCGCAATCGCCAGCGAGGCTGGCAGTTCCAGCCTGGGGAGGACCCCCAAAATAACGATTGGCGCAACCTCGGGTCAGCGACCGACAACAGGTACCCTGGCCTCCGTGCGTTAGTAACGCACGCCAGGAGGGTTTCTCCGCAGTTGCACGTCACAGACGTGCACGAATGGCCCTATTGGGCACAACCCAACTCAGAGAGATGGGATAGCTACCCGGAGAGGCGAGGCGACCTCATGTGTTGCATGCCCTGCGCGCAGCAGGGCTGCATCTCCCAGGGTATGGCGATTTGTGGGCGGCACTGCTCAGTGGGCAGGAGCCCCCACAATCACCACGAATGCGACAACTGCTACCGCAGCAGCCGGGGTCAGCGACCCCGAAACCGCGGCGTCAGGGGCGGCCGCCGTTAGGCTCGGAGCGCAGCGCGTAGCTGCTGGCTTCTCAGTGAGTCGCCCCCCTCACTTTTGGTGCAGTGCACCTCTTTTTGGTTCACCGCCGACAGCTCGGCAGCCTCTGCAGGGCGGGCGTCTCCGAGGCTTTTGGAACCTCGCCCACAGCGGCGGGCCGACGGCATAATTTGAAATGCGGCAAAAGTTTGCCGCTCGCCTTTTTCAGTCGTGTGTCACGCGAGCCTGGTAGGTCTCTTCAGCTGAGTCAGCTCTTTAAACCGTGTCGGTTTTCAAGCAGTGCTTTTCTACCGCAGCCTTTTCAGCTTAGTAAGTCGCCCCCTTCGTGCCTACAGCAAACAGCCTTTGTATGCTATCAGCGATGGCGAACCC